CCCCAAAACCCCAAAACCCCAAAACCCCAAAACCCCATGAAGGCATTCTTAGATTGAAGTTTTCGCTTTATGTCATGGAGGAAAAATTGCACATGAATAAATCCATCCGGCTAAAGAAATCAAGGACATTATCCTCTCGAATACAGGCCTGTAAATGCCGCCCAGAACGGTTGTATTTAACCAGAATATAACTAGGTCGGGGAGTTGCCTCGCTCCGAAAGAGTGTGGACTAAAAGCAGGAAGTTACCCAAAAACATGTGATTTATAACCTTGTTTAAATTTAATAATTTTAAAAGGAACTACGACGTCTGGCCTACGTTTTGTTAGCAATATCCAAAATTTTCTCAAGCACGTCCAAGTACTTTTGGGGCTGTCTTTTCATGGTTTTGTGGGATTCGACCCTCGCAGATCTTCCTCTGACCACTGTATGTGCGTGGTAGTAATTTACAAGAGTTTTAATGGCTGGATACGCCAATACCCTCTTCATTTTGGTAAGAGTGAAGTTATGCAAGCAATCCAAGATTCATTTGTGGTCAAGGTCATTCCTTTCAGGTCCCTCCAACATATACTTATTATTGTTGAGAAATGGCCCTAGGATTGATACCATTTCTTGCTCGTTCACCTGACAAATTGGGATCTTGGACCTTAAAAACTCCAAAATGTTTTCACTCAGGAAACGGGAGGAGGAATGAGCTTTTAGCTCTTCTCAAAAATACCTCCTAATGTCACGAAAGATAGCCTTATAGTAGATATTTTTCTTTTCATATTTCTGTTCAGTCTTCTTCCTTGATGCCTTTTGAGAACTGGGTGGTATGTTAGGTTTGGAAAGATTATCACAGCTTTCGCTGTTTTTAGAATATGGAACAAAACCTGACAAGCCGGGTGATCCTAAGGATCATGCCTGTTTGTCATCATCTTCCACATCAGCAGGTGTTATTTCAGTAATGCCTCAAACTCCAGAGGTGGTGTCACCACTCCTGTAGTTGGTACAGGAGGATTCTCCACCACGAAGAGAGTCCAAGACCTTTTCCAGATAATCCTCGGGGAACGGAGGTACAACCTCCTGCAAGGAGGTTGGGCCTAACGAAGAAGCTAATTCAGAGAACTCGGAGTATGGAGGCATACTCCAAGCACTTAATTTATGCGTCAAAATTCTTGCGGTAATGGCAAGGTCAAGGTCTAAGCTAGAGTCGAGTTTAGATGAGCGTTTGGACATAGTTGTCAACAAGTAAGAGAGATAATATTATAATAGCTGCCTTTTATTTTTTGCTGGGGTTTTGGGGTTTTGGGGTTTTGGGGTTTTGGGG